TACTTTTCTTTGAGTACAGATCAGCCCCCACCAGGATATCAGGTCATTTCTGTCGAACATTTGTATGGAAAACTTGGAATATATACTCCTGTCCTAAATAGGTCAATAGTTGAAGAGGCAAAAGATACTTATTTGTTCAATTAATGTTTTCCAGACTGATGGATTTCTCTTTTTTTTCTTTTCTCCTTAATGCAGGTATCGCTCTGCGGCACGTGCTTGGTACCAGCAGGACAGCAGTTTATTAGAAAATCATGTAATTGCTTCCAAAATAAAGTTCTGATTAGAAGCTGGCATATAGCTCCTGGGTAAAAAATCCCTTGCTGGCTCTGTGCATTTAAAATGGCACTTTGTGGTAACAGGATATGCTTTTGTGGGGTAATGATGATCCTGGCCACAAAAGAAAGCTAGGAGGTTTTGATCAGTCACTGCGCTGTACTAAAAACAGAATGAAACACACACTTGATGAGTATTCAAACTCAAGGAAACTTTATTATATGAAACTTGAAAAATAACCATGTACTCTTATTAAGAGAGAAAGGAATAAATTCTCATGGGGAAAAAAAAAAAGTGGTGACAGGCAGCTTGAGTAAACTTTGAATTGAGTGAAACCTTGGGGAGAAAAGTATGCACAAACTGTGTAGAGTTGGGTAGTCTATTAACTTCATGGTTAAGTACCTAAGTAGAAGCTACCCTAAAGTGAAAAAACATGCACTTTCTCATTCTGTTAACAGTGTTAGCATTCCTTGGCTGTTTGGGCTACCCTTATTTCTTTATTAACATACACATAAAAGGAATCTAACCTTTGAGCGTAAACACTTTCACTGTGGTTCTGTCTAGGGAGAAGATAGATGTGATAAAGGTGTCCTTACTGGAAAAAAAAAGTCCCTCTTTCAAAATGAATTCTGGAATGAGTGAACTGAAATGCTGAATGGAAGCAATGGCAGCAAGCAGGTAGTCCTTTGCAGTGTGGGGACATCTCTCTATCTCTGCTGGAGACCACTCGTTTTGTGACAATGTGTGGAGGAGTGATGAAGAGCATACCTGTATCTGTACCACCGTGCTGCCTTTGTTTGGTGCAGCTGTATGTGGCACAGCTCTTCAGAGTGTTGCCTCATTTAACAGCCACAGGGGTTCTAATTTAGCACTGGGTCAGACAAAGTAAATGGACAGAAGTGATAGTGAAGGAAGGTGCCAGCCTTAATGCCATGGAAACAAATCTTAGCAATGCACATTATATCAATCTCAAATAGGAATTAATCTTGTATTTTATTTAGTTGCTGACTAAGGAGCAGAAAGATGTTCACATACCTCCAGCAGCCATACCAGAAGCAAGCCTTATTCCCAGGGACAGGGAGACCTTTGTCTGCTAACTAAGCTTATGTGGCATGAACCACAGAGCAAAGCTCTTACCTGATCCCATGGTGGCAAAGAGAAGTTGATGCTGAGTACTGCTCTGAGACTGAAGAGGGAAGGCTTTTAACATTTCTTATGTTGGCTTCGGGTGTCATGATGTTGTCAGTGCCAATAGCAACCTCCCACTTGTGTTGGGTATGTGATAAAGAGGCTGGAACTGCAGAAAGACTGTGGCAGCTTGTCAAAATTTAATTTCTGTAATGGAGATGTAGGTCTAATACAAAAGCATGTTAGCTTCAATTTATACTTATTAGTAAAAATATCCAGCTAGAAATGCTCCTCTGTGTAATTTGTCATTTTGCACTTGAGAATTGTCACCTTCATCGTCACTTCTCCCCATGACTTATTTCTAGTGCTGCAGCAGCTGGTGCTTGTTGCTCTGTCATGATGATATCCACATTGCTGTGGCATCAGGGCTTGCCAGGCTTTGGAGCTGCTGGAATATACAGAGGCAGAAGGGATATGGGGGTAAGATCCTGGTCTCAGGTAGATGGATGGTG